TGGTAGGTGTTGATGGCTTCAGCAGATTACGGGGTGAATAAATGTTAAATATTACTAGCTGTCCCGACAAACGTTGTTTTGCCTTAAAATAAAATAAAAAAAATTAGGGGTGGACTACCCCTAACATTTAAGGGGATGAAAAATAGATGTTGGCCGATTCTCAGACCTACTCAATACGCTCACAAAATTTCATGAAAATCGGTCAAGCCGTTTCGGAGGAGTATGGGAGCGAAAACTGTGACACGAGAATTTTATATATAAGATTATAAATTACAAATTACGATGAGTGAACAAATATACATTAGATCGATCGAATAGATTTTTGAAGTCTGTACGTTACGTTGCGTATTGAAATTGGATGGGTGTGCGGTACAATCAGAACGCTCCCTTGCGTTGCGTTTTGTTGCTGCTTATACACGACGTAATATTTCAGGACAATTCACACAGCGGTATCTAGTCCCAAGCTAAACAGAGCCTGTGGTGTCAGTACTAAAACACTGATAGATACATATATTATTGTAAATACATATATAATATACATAGAAAACACCTAGACCGATACAAACAGTCATACTCATGGATACAAATGTTTGCACCGTGCGAGGAATCGAACCCGCGTCCATTGAAATTAAGGCGTTGTGCTTTAATTCTAAACCACGGAGATTATCAACAAATCAATACTTTAATTTAGTTTTTTTTGTACGAATTATAAGAATAGAATAGTATTTTAGAATAGAATATTCTATTCTATTTTAAAATTTATATGGCACTGAAATTACAGAATACCAGAATAGAGCACCTTAATAATCATAAATGAAACGATAGAGAGATTGCTTTTAACAAAATTGCAATAACATATGCTGGTGGTCACTCTATTCTTACAAATTTGAACACGAGCTGGGTTTTTTGTCAGTTCTTCTCAGCTCGAAAGAATTCTGAACTGACGGTAGATATGACATGTCATAAGACTCTGTAATAGACCTACCATACATTAATAAAAATATTTTGATTTGATTTGATTTGATACCACGAGTGTGGCAAGGCGATATAATCTCATCTGCATACATATATATATATATATATATTATATACATATATTATATATATGTAACGGTATCGACTTTCTACCGCCCGTCAGTTTCACGAGCATGGCAAGGCGAAGTAATCTAGCTCACATATCAGGTAATGGTATCTAGTGGTACTTGTTATCAGGTAACCTGTCTGAAATACCAATTTCAGTCACAAAAAAAGAACAAATTAAAAAACTTCAATGCTAGTTCCCTAAATATTTTATCAAGCTGCCAATTTTTTTGTGGCAAAATATGTACCTATACGCCCACACGGCCTGTCGATGAATTACAAGCTGAAATTTAACTTTGTTTAAAATTCTACGCTAAATATTTTGTACTGTAACGCCTTATCGTGGTCTGCCACACGTTTCTAATTTGTATTTTTTCTATTTGAATTATTCTTTGTATGTTATATTATTTTTTCAGACATGTAGGCATTGTACACAAGAGCATGAAAAATGTCAAGAGGGAACATTACATACGACAAAATTAAAGAGTGGAAACTACGCTCAAAAGAAATAAATACAATCTTTTGCATGTATTTTATTCAGTGTAATTAATATATCTATGTTTTTTATTATACTATTAGTGGGTTTGCGCTTGGTCTTACCTCATCTGATGGGAAATGATGGTTAAACCTAGGATGTAGCGCGCTTACGCAGAAGATATCTATTCACCATAGACTTGAAGAATCTGGGATTGTATTTCTCCGGGAACACGAACGCTGGAAGTGTGTTCCACTCTTTGGCAGTGCGGATTAAAAATGACGATGAGAACCGCTTGGTGCGAATATGTGGAATTTCGACGACGTAGGGATGAAGTCCTACTATTCATCGTGTGTTAATGTTAATGTTTAATGTTAAAATCGAATTATATTATTATATTTTTTAATTATTACGTTTTACAGCTCTGGATACTAGTTCTTTTGAACTCAACCCAAACAAGTGTAATAAAAACTTTATTAAGATGAGTTACTAATAAAGAAATATTATTTATGTATTAGAACCTACACTAAAAAAGTAAATAAATAAAGTAATTTTATTGCAGATTTTAACTAATAATAATTTTTATTTACTATTCAACATGTTGAATAATTACTAGATATCGTTGATTTGTCTAATATCTATTTCTAATTAAATCTTATTGCGTAGTTCATATTTTGACTCTAATGAATTAGTGCTAGTTGGTAGTTTGTATTCACATATTTTAACTCAAAAATGTAAAGCTATTCAAATGAGCGGTAGATTAAAAAAAAGTATGACTATTTAAAAGTGCAAAAATTTAAGTTTGTATAAAAGATTTTCTATTCCATTAAAATGTTAAAATAATAGCAACACATTTCTAACACGTATAAATCGCCTCAGTTTTGTTGTCCGTACTCCCTCTAGACATTTACTTGCTCTGCGGTAATACGTGAACATGTCAAGCACATTTTGTCCTCAACATGGCCGCACCTCGGGGGGTATAATTTTCCTGGAAAACACTGTATTTTAATTAGGTATGTTACTAACCAAATAATTATATATTTACTCTTTATATGCTCGGATGAAATATCATACAAAGTTTTGTAAATTAAATTACATATCATATTATGTAATTATATATATTTACTTAAGACTTCATTAAGATAAAATGTATAAGGATATACAAAGGTCAAATGTACTATAATATAATGAACGTGTATTTTCTCTAATCTCTTTTATTCTGTTGATATATTACATTATATTATAATGAGGTTGTTATATTCTTAATCTGATTCATATGTAAGTTTTATTTTTTTAATATAGAAACACGCGTTTAATTAACTTTTGTTTTCTCGTAGAAGTTATTCTGATCCTATGCTTACCGCGACTGTAATAATAAATGGGGTAGTCAGAGAGTGGCAAATACCATTGTCTTATTAATTATTAATATTATAAATGCGAAAGTTTGTGAGTATGTTTGTTTGTTACTCTTTTACGCAAAAACTACTGAACGGATTTTGATAAAACTTTACAGTAATGTAGCTTATAAATCAGAATAACATACAGGCTATACATTTCACGCGGGTGAAATCGCGGGCACAGCTAGTACAAATAAAACCCTAAATTATTAACTTAATTATTATATTAATTCAAACTTAGAATTTAAATTAATTATGGTCGAATTTTGACTACTGTACAACTACTAGAGTAATCAATTAAATCAAATCTAAATATCTCTATTCATCTAGGTCTATTACAGACTCCTATGATATGTCAAATCTACCAACAGTTCAGAATGCTTACGAGCTGAGGAGAACTGACGAGAAACTCAGCTCTTATTATTTTCAAATAAGGTTGTACATGTTTAGAAAATACAGATTCATTTTTTAATTAAAATTTGGGAGAATACTGACCATTAGCATATGCTATTACAAGTTTATTAAAAGCAAATAGTCTATTCACAGTTCGAAACCCGAACAGACCAGTTCCCACAAGCAGCACCCGTTCACGAATATGACGGATAAGTCAGCCATCATTGCACTCAACCATATTAGAGGGAGCATATATGCTCCCTCTAATATGTTGAGTTTCGATAGCTTGTAATAGCATATGCTAATGGTCAGTATTCTCCCAAATTTTAATTAAAAATGAATCTGTATTTTGTAAACATGTACAACCTTATTTGAAAATAATACGAGATACCCTGCCCATCACGCCGCCACAAGTCTGAACTTTATAGCGAACATGACGTTCCAAGTAACTCCACCACGTTATTTACAGTATAGGCTGTAATGAAGAACTTAAGTGGTTCCTAAATGAGATGGTGGGTCAGATTATTGTCGCTTCATATAAAAACAAACGATGTCAATATAACTACTGTCTCGTATAACGACAACGTGTGAGAACATAACCATGGGCATCGTAATACTAATTGTAAGATGCTTACAAAATGGGACATATAATTAGAAGAGACATATATGTGAATTATGAACTATATATATATGAATAGGACATATATATTATCGGAATTATTTTATATATGAGCACCCAATATATCGACGCTGTAACAAATGACTGTCGACCCGCGATGAAAACGGTTCTGACGGCGTCGAAATATCGTGAGTTCTTGTATAATTTTAATATGGTATATAATATATAATCATAACATTGTCGATTATATTCGTACCAAGAGTAACCTGACATTGAGGGTAACGCAGCTGAAGTCGAGTCACGTACGTTTGTGGCCCTGGTCCCCACCGACTTGCTGCCCACCTTCATGAAAGAGGACTACTGGCCGAAAGGTGTGGTGTATCGGTGCTACCGTGGCACATTGCCGTCTTCAGTGCCGTGATCACACAGACAATATCAATGTATTAGTTTTTAAATATTATATTATATGTATGTTAGTCTATAAGGTATTTATAATATGAGCCTAGTTACCTGAAATAAATGAATAAATAAAAATAATCTATACTAGTATTAAAGCTGAATAGTTTGTTTGTTTGAACGCGTTAATTTGAGGAACTACTGGTTCGAATTTAAAAATTATTTCTGTGTTGGATAGTCCATTTGTCAATGAAGGTTTTAAGCTATATAACATTGCGTTACGACCAATAGGAGCGGAGCTGCAATGAAAAATATTGCAAAAGGTCGGTAAATGAAACGCAGAGAGAGTTGCGCGGGTCAACTAGTAACATACATATAAACTCCTTTGTTAACATTATTTCTAATTAATATACCTAAAAATGTATTTAAGTGCAATAAATAATATATAACTAGTCTGGCCATAAATAATTTTACACAAAAACTTTTCTTTTTTTTCAACTTTTTAGTTATTTTGAATTTGGAAGACGTATATTATTTTAAAAACTTCTTTTATCAAGACCAAACAGTATAATCAATATTCGTAACCCGTTCACGAGTATGACGGATATGTAACTTGGTAAAATAGATTTGATACACTTACAATTCCATCTCCAATATTTCTGATGACACACGGAAGCAAAGCAGTGGATCCAGTCTGCGAGGTTACAACCGTATTATTTTCAGTGCCGAAGTGTTTCTCAGGAGTGTTGTTATACAGATCTTCCAGAGGTGGAAAGGTGACAGTCAGCTCGTTGTGTTCAGGCTTCAGCGTGGGAGATGATGATGAAGTAGGTGGTGATGATGAGCCTGGAATAAAAACATTTGTTATTTTATTTATAGGAAATAGCAAAAAGGTTAGTCGACATCACAGAAGACCGAAGAGCTGGCAGCTACCTCGGATAAAGAATTAGTTTTGCTATTTAAAGGGGGAACGCTGCCAGTATCTTTGGAACCTTGCTTAAGGGACTCCTTTTAATAATATATTTTAATAATAATAATAGTAATCTCAGGACAATTCACACAGCGCCATCTAGTCCCAAGTTAAGCTATCTAAAGCTTGTGTTACGGGTACTAGATAACTGATACAAGTACATAGATAATTTTTTTTCATAAATACATACATATTATACATAGAAAACACCCAGACCCATCCAAACAATCATACTCATGAATACAAATGTATGTGCCATGCGAGGAATCGAACCCGCGAACATCGGCCGTAAAGGTGTGCTAGATCGCTAAACCACTGAGGTCAATTTTAGTTATTATATTTATATTTTTTAAGGTTTTTAGTTTTAGGTTCATTGTTCTAGTATATTTTTATTAGACTTACATAGTGAAGTTTTATTTATAACATGGTAATACGTCATGTATGTAATTTTAAGTGCTTTTAGTGTATGATAATAGAATAGTGCACCCACCTGCGCTAACGGTTAGCGTTGACGGGGCGCCAGTGCAGGATTATAAGATGAGCATGAGTGGTCTGGTAAGTTAGCCCATCGTGACAAATTCACCAGAAATTTGTCATGATTATTTCAAGGGGGAACCGCGTGGAGGTGAACCTGACATGGTTACATTGCTAGCTGTTGATCCTATTGATCAACAGTCCATATTACTAACAATCCTCTTCCCTTCGGGAAAAAATATTATTACCACAGGGAACATAATTTTACATATAAATGCTAAAAATTTTACGTAAAATGTCCTACATGAATAAATAATTTATGATTTTATTTCATTTGGTGTACTCAAAAGGCCGAAAGGTCATATTCTTTGATTCGATAATGAAGTTACAAGTCTCACTACTTCTAACTTCGATGTAAATATAGCGAGGTGGCTTTTAATTAATACGTACTAGCTTACAAATTAAATGAAAATATAAAACAATCTAAAAATATAAAGTTACCAAACTCATTTAATATTACAACAAGCTACAGAATTTGGTAAAATCATATTAATTTCCGGGTGGAATTAATTTTAACCCATTTGTGAGATCGTTTTGGGGAATTAATTAATTCTTGTGGCGGGTTATAAAGAAACGCTTCCTTGCTCCCATCGGTCAATATTCATCAACAATAATTTAGATTAAGTAGAAATTTACTACAAATTCAAGTAAACAAAACATTCATTGACGACCTTGATAGTCTAACGGTTTAGCACACCGCCTTAGAATAGAATAGAATAGTATAGAATAGAATAGAAAATCATTTATTCAAATAAACTTAATTTAAGCACTTTTAGAATAGTCATAACAATTTGTTTTTTATCTACCACTCGTTCGGAAAGCTGTCTCATCACAAGAAGAACGATCAAGAAACTAGTGTGTTGCTCTTTTAAATAATCCTTGTAAGTTTACATTTACAAGTCGAAACGTGTGAATACAAACTACCAACCAGCAATATTTTTTGAGTCAAATATAAATATACAATAATATTAAATCAGTCGTAGTGATAAGAGCAGACCAGTCCCTATAAGCAGCACACGTTCACTAATATGATGGATGAGCCAGCCATCACTGCGCTCGTCCATATTTTAGGGAGTCCAATGACAGGGCCCACCACGCCGCCACATGTCTGGACATTTTAGTGAGCATGACTACTCATTTCACTCGACCACGTCACAGCTACAAAGCTACTACACTACACAACTACTTCCGATGGTCGGGTTTAGATTCCTCATACGGTACAAACATTAGTATTCATGAGTATAATTGCTTGTACCGCTCTGGGTATTTTCTATGTATAATATGAAATTTTATAAAAATAAATATATCTATGTATTTATGCATCAGTTGTTTAGTAACACAACACCCATGGGGAAGGGGATTTCAAGTAATGGGAACTAGTAAATCCTGCAATATACCATGTTAGATCGACCTCCACGCGATGGGACTTGATAACGCATCTCATCATGAGAATCGTCAACTGAGATATTACTGTATTTGTTAGCATTTACCTCATAGAACTGGAGTCTGTTTTAAGTTAAAGTTTCTGTAATTAAACATTTCTGATTCCTGCGACACAAGCCTTGAGCTTAGTGCAGGGATTGCTGTTAAATATTATCTTGTTAAATACCCGTGAGAAGACTTGGCAAGCCTCTGTAAAGTATAAAAGAATTTCGCTTCCCATTGTCTGTCTGTACCTATGTATGTTTTGATCTTAAAAAACTAAGCGGATTTTGATACGTTTTTTTAATAGACAGAATAGATAGTGACACAAGATGAAGGTTGAAGCTATATAACATCTAACTACTGAGCAGTATAACCTATAGTCCACGCGGTCGAAGCCGCGGGCGGAAAGCTAATATATACATATACTAGCTGTCCCGGCACACGTTGTTTTGCCTTAAAATAAAATAAATGGGCTACCCCTAACATTTAGGGGGGATGAAAAGTAGATGTTGGCCGATTCTCAGACCTACTCAATACGCTCACAAAATTTCATAAGAATCGGTCAAGCCGTTTCGGAGGAGTATGGGAACGAAAACTGTAAAAGTTCTGTAAACATCTACGCATTCCGTGGCAACCAGTTATTAAGACAACATTATATACCTGAACTTACAGAGGATACTAATTGTAACTTCATAGTGCATGTCTTGTTGATCGCTCAATTAAAAAAAAATATTCATGTACTGCACTATTACGGCATTTTTTTTTTTATAAAATAATATCAAAAAGGCAATTTTTCATATAAGGGTAAAAGATTTTAAAATCTAAAATGCTACAATCTCATTTCCTCTGTTAAACTTCAAACTAATATTCTCTTTTTACATTCGTTGTTTGCTCAGACATTCCAAGCCAGCTCAATTTAACTCTGTTTAGCATAAATTGTATGATATCATTGTAGTTATTCAAATAATACTCTAGGAAATGCTACTAGTACACATTTTACTCTACTTTGTATTAAAAAACAGATCGTATTCTTGTTTTTGTTGTTATAATCGATGTCAATATGAAACGCATATATGTAGTGAAATTGAGTGGTATACAGTCATAAAATCTTAGTCGTTTAGAATGGCATCGCATGAGTGTTACAAACATACCATTTTAGAATAGCAACACACACAATAGGACTTGTTATAATCGTTTTCGAAAGGCATTTATGTAGTGAAGTTGAGTGGAATACAGTCATAAAATCTTAGTCGTTTAGCATGAGTGGTATAATCATAACATTTTAGTCCTTTAGAATAGCAACACACACAATAGGACAGGGGTCGCCAAGACCCAAGATCTGTTTACTATTGAAACCCTGCGATCTACCAATTACATACTTATTGAAATCTTAAATGAAACAGAATAGTTCAGTACACAATTATGTAGTATTTTTATTAAGGAGAAAACATAAATGTGAAAATTATTCTTAGTAACTATAATAGGTACTTTACCTTTATATTAGTGTGAGTATTGCATCTTCCACTGGTTTGTCAGTTGGAAATTGCCAACCTTTTTTACGTTTACATTGCGCAGTCTGGTCGATGTTTAAATTTGCAGATCAGACTGCGCAATGTAATTTGCGCTTGCCACGGTCTACTGGACTAACAGTCGTGATCGACTCGATAGGAGATTCTATAGATGTCTTATGATGACGTAATGTCCATCGTGTTGTTCATGTTTATAGGTGACGGTTACCACTTACCATCAGGTGGTACAGTGCAGCTTACTATCCATTTTACATGAAACAAACAATATTTGACGCAAACTTCTTAATTTTGTGAGAGCTGTGATTATAATTTCTTTTTCAGATTACTCTATTGCTGTGGTCGCAGCTGGTTACCTACAGCTTCACCACACGATAGTGTGCGATTGTAGATAGCACTCCAAATCCGCGGAAGGACTATGTAGCAGCTGAAAGCCAACTCCTGCCTGACGGATACGACTTTAGTCTGAGGACCCGCTAGGGGTTCAGGCCGTCGTAATTTCGACCCCCATTTAAATACGACTGGGGATCGATCGAGGTTTATAAATTTAAACGAGTGTAATTGGTAACTATCAAATGATTTATCAATCTATATGTTATAATACTAGCTATGCACGGAGTTTCACTCGCTTGAAATGTATATCCTATATATTATTCTAAAGTATAAGCTACTGTATGTTTTATCAAAATCTGTTCTACAGTTTTTGCGTGAAAGAGAAACAAATATCCATCCATACTCAGAATGTTTCGTGTTTATAATATTCATAAGACATTTCTATTGCTTAAATATTTATTTCGATAACTTTCATTATAATAATAATGATTTTAATGAAGACTATTTTCGGCCATCTAAAGTACTGACGTTATACAAAATCAGACCTTTTTATTAACAAATTGAAATACTTAATTATCAATTAGTCGAGTCCGAAGAGAAAAATCTTTACTCGAATTCAAAGCATTAATTAGAGCAGTATTCTGTTGTGCTGGTATAGCAAAATTGCGTTTCCCAGTTCTCGATGGGTGTTTGGTCCAATTGATAGGTGTCTAGCGAGAGGTTTGTTTAATGGATAAATGTTGAATGGTGTCCAATGGACCCTATCTGCCGCAATGGTATCATTAATCATATATATACATAGCCATGTAATTATGACTGATGTGAATTACGTGAGTCGATATATTTAACTTAAAAATAAAATATTACAAATTATAAAATAAGTCTATACTATCTAACTTATATTCTATTGACGACCTCGGTGGTCTAGCACACCGCTTTACGTCCGATGGTCGCGAGTTCGATTCCTCGCAGGGCACAAACATTTGTATTCATGAGTATGATTGTTTGTATCGATCTGGGTGTTTTCTATGTATAATATGTATGTATTTACGAAAACA